GTTATTAAAAGGAGTCACTTTAGGCAAGGTCCCGAAGATACTGGCAGCGTTCCCCCTTTGGACAGCTAAACTAATTCTTTGACCGAGGTAGCTGCCAGCTCTTCGGTCCCCTGTGATGTCGATTTGTACGTCATAAAACATATTTAAAACAGGCTTTTTGTTTTCCTTTTTCTTTCTAGTTGTGGAATAACAAATAATCAATACGTACGTAAACACAAATAGTATAAAGTTTAGAAATTCCAGCAAGTCTAATAAAATCCACATTTCAAGGAAAACTTTTTCCTATAAAACACGCGTTATAACTTTCGGTAGTTTGTGGTTTTTGGTAACAGTAAAATTTGGCCTTCATTTAGTTTTAGCTGGCCGGTAATTTCTAAAATATATTAACATATTTCCTGCAATTACAAATATACAATTTATGATTCTCATGATAGGTAACCAGACGATATCTATACTAATATAATATACAAAGAAATGCTTTGATTGTTTGTACTGAATAGACTCCGAAATTTTTCTTTCAGCAATTTACTATAGATAGAAATTATTTCGCGCCACTACAAAAGCTACTACAATAATTTTTCTAACATAACAGTGTAAGTCCAAAGTGCTACAATAAACTCATGGAATTAAACCATACTTCATCATTAGCTCACTGTACGTTCCCACTTAGGGGGTTTGTTGTCCACCCTAAGTTAGGGGTGACTAGGCCATAGTAAGTGGCCAAATGCGGGTTAATTGACTTTACACATATTTTTGAATTTATTTACAGATATATGGAGGTTGCATCACGATGTTTTCCATACTTTTCAATATTATAAGACTGGAAGTTTTAACATTAATATAATACAATCCTTTTATTGATGTTAGCCAACATCTTACTTCTTACTAATCTTACTAATATTATAAATGCGAATGTTTAGATGGATGGATGGATGTTTGTTTTTATTTCCAGAACGGCTGAACGGATCTCGATATAATTTGGCATACTTATAGAACGTAGTCTGGTAGAACATATAGGCTGCTAATTTTGTTTTTTTTTACCGCACGGACGGAATCGCAGGCGTTAGCTAGTCTATCATAAAATTGTACAAAAACTCATTATAACGATAATATTGTATGAAATAAAATAAGGTCAAGATGGCTGAGGGATATGGTATTTTAAAATCTGCTTCGTAAGTCGCTTATACCCTCAGAGTTTTTTGTCAAAAGATTGTTGAGAGGGCTCGCGCTCGTCGCCAAAGGCCGGGCTTCGTGTCAATATTAACGCTCTTAAATATAATGAACAAGTGTCATTCTCTTCTTACTGGTCTTGCAAAATTTATTAAAAGTATAACTTTGAATCGTGATATTGGTTATTTTAATCGATATATTTTAGAATGTAATTTCATCAATATATCATTCATTAGTTTATTTGTAAGATTGAAAATCTGATATTAAGATTACAGTTTATTGGATGCGATTACAAAAGGGTAACAATAATGACGTCTTTCCATGGAAAATCTCCACTTATAAGATATTTTTACCTCTGTTTTGTCAAGGATAATTACAGGGATGATATGTTTTATAAAGAGATTTTAGTCTCAGAAACCCACAGTTAGTAGTAGACAACTGAATGACAGATAAATGCCGAAAAAAATCACAGAAGTAAGATATATGAACTGTTTTCGTTTGATTTAGTACTTCTTTGTTCTGGAAATAGGATATAAAACTTAAATTTAAAAAAAAAATTGCCCAAAATTATTGCTAGCTTTTAGTGATTTTGTGGTTTTTGAATACTCTAAAGTAATAACTCTAAGGCTACAAAAATACAAAATTACGGATACGTAATATTTTAGGGCTACTTCGATAACGAGACGTAAAATGTCAAACTATAATATTAACAAATATATTTGTGACGTCATAAATCCATTTAAAAATAACTACGTAGGCTTTCCCTGAATTACTGAATTAAATTCAAAATATCTCCGGAAACCTGCGTAGGCTGTTTGAGCCATACGTTTGCACTCATCCTATGGAAAACAAAGTATCTGAAGTAGAGTTTGAACCGAGTCAGTGCAAGTAAAACTGTCCTAGACGACGGACGCGCGCTCTGCTCTCGTCTACATCGCATACGAAGTGATGTGAAGTTATTTTGTTTTGTTTTATTTCGTTGATTTACGTATACGAAGAATTTAAATCAAGTGATCAGTGAAAAGTTTATAAAAACCTTTAAAATTTGTGTAGTAATTATTGACAAAGTTCTTCAAACTTGGACGAGGTTAGTAAATATTTTTTTTTAATATTTATACTATAAATTAAATTATAGTTGACAATTGACGTATGAAGATGGGAATGATCTTGAATTATACGAGATAAAGTGACCCCGGCATTGCAAGTGTTATTTGCGCAATTTGTTAATATAATAGACCTTTGTAGATAGAGATGACGCCAAGATTAAAAAATATATCAATTGACACATTATTCTATAATACTTTATCTAGCAACTAGCTGTCGCCCGCGACTTTGTCCGCGCAATATTAAAAAAAATCTTAATTATTACACTATGTTCTACATCTATGCCAAATATCAGCAAGATCTATATAGCCGTTTTGAAGATACCTTCAAACAAAAATCCATCCAACCGAATATTCGCATTTATAATATTAGTAGAGATTACTATAGCCTTAACATTTTTCATATAAGATATGTAACGCTTATTCACAATTATAACTACTATATTCCAGTTTAACAACGTACTTCAATTAAAATAGGCATTAAAGTAAGAATTAAATTTATTTAATCGTAAAATACACACGTGTTATACTGAATAACATTAAAAACTGTTGGTTTAGGATATATTTGTTCAGGTAAAAGTATACACAAATTTTTGGGGCCTTGCAAATATGTAACTTCTGGTTTAACTTTTAAAGGAATAAGGAAAGAAAAACATTCATTATATAGATTTACTTTTTATATTTTTTGTAACATTACTACAATTCAATAACCATGGGTTTCTGAGACAAACATCTCCGTTTAAAAATATTGTTTTGTCTAAAATGAAAAACGGGGGTGACAATATATTGATTGCAAAGATTTTGGTGTCAAAAGCCAACTGTGAGTATTGTTTAATAAATACTTAGGAAGATAAATACACTGAGTTAATAATTAAATAATCGTTCAATAACTCTGTGTGGGACAGTTATATTTAAGTATGTTAATGTAATAGAAAGTTCTCTAACCTATGGATCATATAGACAGTAATGGCAGTCATTTTATGTCGAAGTAAACAAAACCTAAAGTTAATCCGGCCGTGAAAGATTTGGGACGCGTCAATTTGTCATCAAAGGAAAATAACAAGACATTCGTAAGACAAAATTGTACTCACAATTCAACTTTATTCCGGTATTTCACATGTTTATTATTTTTTAATAACTAACGTAATATTTGGCCATCAGTTCAATAATTTAGTCGTTTAGAGGTTTGGATGGATGGGTCTTTGTTAATACATACTCCAAAACGGCTTAATGAATCTCGCTGAAATTTGGAACAGATGTAGAGCATAGTTTGGAAAACCACATTGCCTACTTATAAGTACTCCGCACAGAC